TATTAACATTATTTCTGACACATTTAATATATGTGGCTAAAAATAGCTCTTAAATTTATTTATTTTTGGTGGGGCCAATGAAAATTTTGGCAGGGCAAGTAAAAAACTAAACCATTGGCCAAATCAGACCAGTAGAAAAAAAATCCTTAAATGATGTTGTAACTACCACTCTGACACATTCTGGCACATTAGGAATATTGATTCCTCAACAGTAGTCTCTGCTTGGTCTGTGTCCGAGCTGTATGTACGGCTGAATGCTGGTCCTCTCACTCATGTTGCTTTTCTCTATCTGCTTGTCTGTTGCCATACTCAAAGTGGGGGAGCTCCTGGCTCCGCCCCCTTGTTAAGCTGGGCAGGAAGTTAAAACTAATTTTCATGCGAAGCAACACACCCCTAAAACAGCAACCTGTATACACGCCCCCAAAATGACACTTTAAACACATTGTAATAAAAAAATTCAATTGTGTTTTGAACTGAACCTAAACTCACACACTCAGAGAAACCATAATAATATTAAATCCTAAAAAAGGGGTAAACAAGGTGCCCTTTAATATAACTTGACATTACTTAAAATACCAAGCTTTGGCATTACAACTTAACCAGGTGTGTTTAACTTACTCATTAGGCTGCAAAATCATTTATTATTTTAAGTTCTCTGTACTTAAGGTTTTAATTTCTTCACTTGATTCACCCTGTCTGTTTGGTTTTGTTTGAAATTCTGCCTTGACAATCATGCTGATTGGTGGATATATGTTATATGACACAAGGTGGTCATTTTGCTTATGATGCTCAATTTAGAGGCACTACCTGAACCCATCTGAACAAAGACAGAAGTTAAATTAGTAAGTAGATATTAAAATGCTTATATACATAAGTGGCAAAACACTGCAGTGGCTGTCACCTCACAGCAAAAAGGTCGCTGGTTCGAGTCCTAGCTAAGTCAGTTGGCATTTCTGTATAAAGTTTGCATGTTCTCCCTCTGTTGGCGTGGGTTTTCTCTGGGTGCTCCTGCTTTCCCCACAAGTTTAAAGACAAGTGCTATAGGTGAATTGAGTAAGTTAAATTGTCCGTAGTGTGTGTCCTGGTCCTCCAGGTTGGAGGTTGGGGGTAAATTGTAGATGTTACGAAACACCAACATGGTGTGGATGAATATCAACTTCATTATAAATGACTCTGGGAGTAAGTAAGGATAAGAAAGAATATAAAAGTTGAAATTTTTTTTTTTTTTTTTGATAAATAGGGACAATCAGCAATGTTCTCATAATGCATCCATTATCTTCTTGTAATACCCATGTAATAACCATCATTATACATATCTGTGTCCTGATATGTCACAAAAACATGCACAAAAACTAAATAAAACACAAAAGCAAATCTAACGCCACCTGGTGACAGGAAAGCACAATTGAGAGAACCTGCAGTTTGAAGAAATAAAAATAAGGTTCTCCTCTACACATATTTGGAGTCAAAATGAAAATGGGAATTAATTCAAAACATTTAATTTGGCTGATTTCGATTGGTTACAAATTGACTTGTTTGCAAATGAAAAGTAAATGAATGTTCACCCCAAACCTTTTTGGAGGTATGATCATTTTATGAACATTTTATATACAAAGCATGATACAAATTCACCAACATAAAAAAAATAAACAAAAAAATTACAAACTGATTGGTTACAAAATGCACTTTTTTTAGAAAAATAAAAAAAAAGGATAAAGATCAACCCCCAGCTTATTTGTGCATGATGATTATTCATTCTTTTTTTTTTTTTGGCTTAGTCCTTTTATTAATCAGGAGTCACCACAGCAGATTAACCACCAACTTATCCAGCATATGTTTTTACGCAGCGGATGCCCTTCCAGCTGCAACCCAACACTGGGAAACACCCATACACTCTTGCATTCACACACATGCACTACGGCCAATTTAGCTTACCCAATTCATCTATACCGCTTGTCTTTGAACTGTAGGGGAAATCAGAGCACCCGGAGGAAAGAAACCCATACGAACACGGGGAGAACATTCAAACTCCACACAGTAATGCCGACTCACCCAGCCAGGGCATGATTTAGCGACCTTCTTGCTGCGAGGTGACCGTGCAACCCACTGCACCACTGTGACGCCCTGACATTCCACATTATACGGCTAATTCCATTTTATGGTTGGATTCTGCAATGTTCTGAAAACGTTATAAAGGTCCCCCAAATAACATACCCCAACAATTTGACAGAACAGCTGAGATCTTCTGAGAACATCAACCTTCCTGTCATGTTAACATCACCAAAATGTTCTGAATATTCCGTGATGTACTGCCAAATAATATCCCAAATGCTTCAAAAGAATTTTTCAAAGCATTCTGGGAAAATTTTTTAGCCAACGTCTTTGATGCTAACATGGTTTTGGAAACTTTTGGAAAACATCAAATTCCCCAAAAATATAATCTCTTAAATGCCCTTAGAACATTCTGAATGTTTTGTATAAGTCTGCCAGTAACGTCCCCCAATCCTCCACACCATGACCTTTACAGAACGTTCTGGTAACATCCTTGACACGAGTGGGGATGTTCTATGAATTTAATATTTATACGTGTCTATGGTATTTTATAAAAAATAAATTAAAACATTTGCCAATAAAATGGCATTACTGTTAAGAAAACTTCAGAACCTTTCAATTATTCTGCGTTTTCCTTGCCTTCATTTTATTCACATATTTGTTCAATAACAAAGATTTGCAACACTAAACATAGCAGCACACCGAATCCTACATATTATTTCACCACAGCTCAAAAGTCTTTCTTCCTGCACTTGATCTGTACACATCCTAAGGCTTTCCAGTTGTCATTGCAGTCACACTGCGGATGATAAATTTCAGCAGGAGAAACAAAAACAGACTTTACAGCCAACACCATGGCACATGGGGAAGAGTGTTCCCACTCTGCTTTTACTGCAAAGTAAATAGCGCCTCTCACACGGGCTCTTGTGACAGCATGGAAAGCCTTTTGACCTTGTAGAAGAGGAGGAAAGCCTTCAAAGCCAAACGTTTGGGCAAAAACACGATTAGCAAGTTTGCCTGTTCCAAGCCTTGTTGGTATTCTAAACCCTAGCAGCCGTTGAGTTTTCTTTAAGCTTTTTAAAGTGCTAAACCACAAATGAGTGATAATTTCACATCACGTGGGATGTTCTCTATTATCCTTCATTTAACAATCACTCTTTGTTGAGAAGCTACCTTTATGTTTTGGAAATTAAACACTGTTTTCCTAGCTGCTGTGATTTCAGGCATGTTTTGCAATAATAAGAACCCATCTGGATTTCATTATTGCTTCTGTTTTCTTCAACTTGTTCTCCGAATGTTTCCAATTAGCAAAGACCAACAATGCCACTGTTGCCTTATAGTAAACATGATGTGATGGTGGAATGGGTTGCCTGTATTATTTTGTAGTTGTTGGCAATGCAGCTTTATTTAATTGTTATTCTATGTGCTGATGCATTTTTTTCCCCATCTACATTGAGACTATAAAATAGCGATCCCATGAAACTCAATTTGTTGACAACAGCAAGAAATAAAATGGCGCAATTCTTTCAGCGAGACCTGATTTATTGCTCTTGCAGAAGGAAACTGATGGAGGATGTGGTTGGTATCTGACATACTCCAGTCATTGATCATGCAACTGAAACCACATGTGCGGAAATTTAAACATACTTTAGGAATTAATATAATACCTAACCGAGCTCTTCTTTCAGTTTTATAACGCTTCCAGAGCCTATGCTATTCTCGCCGAGCTGAAGAGTTCAAGAAGATGGTCAATTTCATTCCTGTGTAAAGTGGGTGTGGGTGTATTGTCATGGTAAAGTCATTTGGAAGCGTGTATTTGGAGAGAGCCAGTGATTTATAAGAGTGCGGAAAGTGTGGAAATGATCTCACAGCCACCTTGTAAATCCACCAAGCCTTGAGTTCACAGCGCAGTGCAGACATAACTTTTTTGGTAACAAATGTAAAAATAGCACACAATGTAATACAGCACTAACTATTCAACGTTCTCTTGAATCCACTCCAAAGAATTACATTGAAGTTGTCGCTAATCCAACAGTTGAGTTCTTCAACTGAGGTTTGAATTAAAGAAATGAAAGAACCCAAACTATTCTAAGAAATAGTCCATTTGCAGACTTCAGATGTTAAACACTTAATCAGAATCAAAATTGACTCACTGTATGTCATTACTATTTTTTAAAAAGGTATTACACATTTTTTGGGGGGACAACAGGGTGGCTCAGTGGTTAGCACTGTCGCCTCACAGCAAGATGGTTACTGGTTTGAGTCTCGTTTGGGTCTGTTGGCATTTTTGTGTTGAATTTGCTTAGGTGAATTGAATAAGCTGAATTGGCCGTAGTGTATGTGTGTGAATGAGTGTGTATGGATGTTTCCCAGTACTGGCTTGCAGCTGGAAGAGCATCCACTGCGTAAAACATATGCTGGATACGTTGGCGGTTCATTCCCCTGTGGCGACCCCTTATAAATAAAGGAGACTAAGCTGAAAAGAAAATGAATGAATGGATGAACACTGTTTGGGGCTTGTCGCCTCTGTTTCCATACAGGTATATAAATATTTTCCATTTTTATGTGCACATATCAATTTGTAACCAATTTATATTTTGGTAATTGGTGACTAATTTGTAAGAATTTACAATATCACCTTATACACAACTAAATTTGGTAAATCGGTGACTAATTGGTAAGCATTCATACAATCTTATACACAATAAGATGTTTATTTTTTTCTAAATATATCTTTCTATACAAGTGCTTTACATTTTTGGCAAATTTTTTGGCGGATTTATATCATTTGTGCATAGAAAAATCAATAGAATCAAGTTTGTATCCAATTAGACTGAGTGGGAATCTCTTGCTTGCAATCTAAGAAAATGGAAAATGGTTGTCAAATAAGTCTAAAATATGCTAATAAGATTTTCATTGGAGGGAAAACAAAAGCAACAACAACAACATACAATTAAATGCTGTTTTATATTTATTTATAAAACTGTAATAGAGTAAGAGTATAGAGAGTATATTTCATAACTATAGCCGATAACTGAGCTTTCCATCAAAGTACAAGGTTAATAATTTCTAGTGTAATACAGCAATATAATCATTTGTATTTTTGACAAGTTTTCTTTCACAAGGCCTGTGGAAAATTAATGCAAATCAATATATACCATCACAGACCAAACGGGGCATTTGACCCTTTTTAAAAGCTCTGATGTGCTCTGAAACGTACAGTAGTTTAAGACATAAGTGTGCTGCAAATTATTGTGCTGTTGCTTTGCATCAAGCCAAAACAGTGAGACGTATGACAATATCACAGAATATTGGTCCGTTACAATTTACAACCCATTCATTCACACATTAGTTGCTTAATATCGTGACTGATTACTTAAGATGGTTTACTGCAATTGTTCTTTCTCCACTACATTTCCATTGTCCAAAGTCAAACACAAACCCTCAGAGGATATTCCCACAGATAAGAAGGCTGCGGTTTGTAATCTCTCCTTCAGCATCAGTCCTGTGTCTTTGGGTTAATTCCTCTTGCTCTGACTTAATGTCAACTAAGAGGTAAAACAGCTGAGAGTGCAGATAAAGAAAGATTGAGAAATTAAAAGGCACTTTGCTAAAAGTATCTGTCCAGCAGCTGCTTCCTCTGAGGATGCATTTACAGCTACTAAAATCAGACACGACAAAATAATGTCAAATCAAAACATTCTGTAAGTATTCAGGACCTAGAGTTTGTACATTACGCACTGAGGCTGAATAGTACATTCAAGTGATGAATCTGAATTAATAATTAATGTGCATAAATTTACCGTTAAAAACAACAACAACAATAAAACGAAAACATGTTCAAGGCAAAATGACTAAGAGTCCAGAAAGGCTATTAAATCAGTGTTTTAAGCCAAAATGGTATAAAAATATATATCAGATCACACGAGGGTATTGCACGGTTAATGAAAATATCTACCATATTTCCTAGAGCATATTCCACATTTGATTGATGGTGGTCATATTATATCAGACGCACACAATCAACACGTCACATTAACACATGTCTGCCATTCAAAAACACATCAATTGTTGCTTTTTTCTGAGGAAACACTTGTAAGACTTTAAGGGCTTTGTAAGGATTTGTTCATGAAGAGGTTTCGGTTTGCCAGTGGTGACCATAAAGGAGCGAGATGTTTTGTAACACTTCCAACCAGACTTTATAACAAAAGAGGTATTGTTCCTGCAATCAGAGAAAAGAAAGACAAAACCTTTGTGGATTTATTTAACTATTCTTAGGGCCCTATGATTTCCTAATGCAGAAATGAAATGAGAAAATTTCACTTTTAATCTTTATTTTAAGTAATTTCTTAATGGAGTCATGATATCTTAATAACATTGAAAATAGAGAAAACAAAACAAAACAATGGAATGCCATGAGGCTGCATACTTAATCGAAAAAAAATCGTGATCTCAATTCGACCCCCCACACGATCTTAATCAGAATCTCTACAATTTAGCCAATTATATGTTCAGGAGAGAAGCATAAAGGCCGCCGCACAAGTCTTTACATTGTTTAATATACGTGTTGAAATGTTGTTAAGAGAGTCACATTTTGTTTTGATAAAGTATAAGTTCACACAAAAATGTCATTTCTGTCTTCATGTACTGACGTATTTGCGGCTGCAAATTCATACGTGAACTGACCGTGAGTTGAGCGTTTACTACAGCAGATGCGCCGCCGTTAATAATGTCTACTGTAGCAAACCGAACCTGCATAGACTGACAATAACAGGTAATAAAGTTGTAAATAACGTTCAGCTTGTTGTACATTACGATCGCTTGGGAGCCGCACGGGAGGTAAGATTTGCATGTATGTTTTTTTTTCCTCAAAGTGACAGCAGCCATGACATTAGCCGCATTCGGCAGTGAAAGTAAAACCAAAACCACGCACCTCATTTAAATGAATAAATATCACATTTTATGTGAGCTATGATTACGACAATCATTTGATACGTTTTTTTTTCTTTTATAGCGAACACAGTGTTGTGCATGAGAATAAATGTTTAAGGGTCAGTATTACTACTCTAGCCTGTATAACGTTGTATATAATGCAGACAGATTTGTTATCTGATAATGAAATATGTCTTATTTTAACAGTAAAATAATGGTCTATGAATGTTGTCAGTGATAGATTGCAAGCATATGTCTCAAACATAAAAAATCACCTTCAGAATTATAAATAGTAGTATTCTGATATAATCACTTTACTGTGCATTAATGATCAGGACAAATTTAAAGTTTGTTCAAGTCCACCATTTCAATATCCGCTTGTTAAGTGTGAAGTCACGCTAAGCAGCTTCCGGGTTGAATCGCTCTATTCAACTGAATGGGGAGACTCATGAAATGGTAATAATAAACATTTACAAAGCGATTTAATTTCATAGGGCCCTACATACAGAACTTTCAGAAAAGAGATAAATATTAACAACATTTAGTACTGCATTCATCCCACCCTCATTTTAATGGATATTAAAAGCTTAATAAATAATTTAAGACAGTAAAAATGGCAGTTTTACTTGCTTATGGGTAGGGCCAGACGGAATCTGCGGACATTTTTTGCTATTTCTATGTAGAATTTTGATATAAATCTGTGGATTTATGCGGAATGACTTTAGGAGTATTATAACTAAATCCTTAATACATGAAATTAAAAGTAAGAAATTTTTAACTTGTATTTAATGTTTACAATGCAAATCCAATTAGATCCACTTTATTTGGTAAACTAAGCAAGTCTCTCAAGTAATATTTCTACTAAAAGACAGAAAATATTCATTTACAAACTATATTGTTTATAAATCATATAAATATTTTCACATTAGTCAATAATATTACTGAAATAAATTTAAAAACTGAAAAAATATAAAATTACACACATTTACACAAGTAAATAAACAGAATCAATGATGGGCTACAAATCAGAAATATTCTGCGGAATTTTGTGCAAACAGATTCTGTGTGGGCCTACTCATGGATCAAGAAATCATGTGAATTTCACATCATAACCAGTGTTGGGGGTAACGCATTACAAATAATGTAAGTTCTGTAATAATATTACTTTTCTAAGTAAGGTGTAAAGTAATGCATTACTTATTTTTTTTTCCTTCTTAGTTTAATTAATTAGCTTTAAAAATAAAATTGTTCAATTAAAATTAACGTAATCACATACTCAAATGAGAGAATTTGCTCGCTGTGGGAACAGATAGAAATCAAGATGTTATGCCAGAGTCTTTCTCATTATTCACTATTCTCACTATTTTGAATGCAATAAAGAAAAAGAAAAGGGCATTGCCTCAATGGACAATGATTTTCTAACTAATAAGACAACTCTTAAAAAATGTAACTAAGAAAACACATTGCTTTCAAGTTTTATGAATCTGTAAATGTTTTTATTTATGTTTAAATAACGTTTCATTAATCTGGGGTCAGGAAGTTCAGCCAGATGAGAAAAAGTCATGCAAAAGTAACTCAAAAGTAACGTAATGCATTACTTTCCATTAAAAGTAACTAAGTAAAGCAACTTATTTTTTATTTTTATGAGGGGACTCAATATTGCAATACAGTACTTTCAAAAGTAACTTTCCCGAACACTGATCACAACTAACATCATCGAATTACACATTAAACGTCCTGATTTGCTCACCTTAGTCTGAATCATGCCGTGCCGCTGGAGTCTCATCTCCTTTACAATGTCACTCACATTAATCTGCAAAACAAAACATAGATTTATCTCTTCAGAATTAATAATATGCTGTTTACTTAAATGAGATTAATGCCATTATCTATTGGTTACAGATTGATTATGCTGCTGTAGTGTAAATGACTCACACTGAGGTCTTTCTGAATGAGACTGAGGATGACGTCTGTACAGATGAGGACTCCGGCTCGGCCGATGCCTGCGCTGCAGTGGACGGTGATGGGCCCTTTAGCGTGAACAGCCCTCATGTAGCGGATGAAGCGCACAAGCTGATCGGAGGAGTGGGGTGTGCCGTGATCAGGCCATGTGGTGAACTTCAGGTGCTTCACAAAGTGCACGTCTCCACTCTGGAAAAGTGCACAGGTCAATAATCAGCTGCGTTGCAGATCTGCATTGATTTAGAATTTTGAAGATACATGGCAAATCAATTAAATCTGCATTTTTGACTGCATTTTGAGTTTGTAATACTCCTTGAAACATTAAAACAGGTCACATTTATTTAAAAATTAATTTACATTTAAAATTCTAAACTAAAAGCACACATATTTAATATATTAATTAATTTCTCTTATCAAAATTTTAACTAAACACAATTCTCTGTCATTGAATTTGTATTATTAAACATTACAATTACATATTAGCATTATAAAATTACATTTTTTCTTAAGTTTTTACACACAAAATATATATTTTATGGAATATTGCATTATTTAGTATAAGTCCTTTATCAGTGCATCTCTTTTTTAAATTAATCATTAAATAAGCTATTTATTTCTGACAATTATTAACTCTAACATGAAATTAAAATAAAGTTTTTAAGATGTTATTATCAGTATTATTTGTTTTTTGGATATCTAGTGCGACCCAAAACAGTAACAAATTTCACATTTAGAAGATATAAAGTTGATATAAACATACCGCTGTTTTAAATTGCTTCCGCCCAAATGGACCAACGGTTTTATTCACGCGAACTCACACTACAGGTTCTCATTACATCAAAACCAATCAAATGCTTTCTAGTATCTGACATGGCACGCCCCCTTCAATGCGCTTCTCATTTGCTTTTCATTTGATGTGCTTGAGCTCAACCACTCTCAATGGCAGGTGTGTGATAAAAAAAAAAACACTATTGGCTGTTTTTTTTTTTAAAGGGAAGGAGCGACTCTCCCACCCTCTCATCGTGTTTCGTTTGAGATTATATCAAACATTGAATAAAAATGCATATTTCAAAGCACTTCATGAGACCGATAAGGGCAGGGTAACCTGTCAATCGCATGCGAATGGCCAATAGTAAGCGACAATGACCCAATTGATTCCCAAATGACAAAATTATTTAACAAGAGTTTATCTTGATCTTATTTGAGTTGATCTGTTTTAAGCATTTGTTTATTGTACATCTGCAGCAACATGTAGTCGACAATACTTTTCCGTTTAAGAGTAATCAAGTTTAAGTAATTAAGTATACTTCTGCTAATATTAATATTTAAAAATAATCTTTATTTGTAGGCGCTAATTGTGTTCTTTGTTGTTCTTCCATCTTTTAATTATTGTTATATTATGTTATTATATATATATATATATATATACTGTACACACACACACACACACACACACACACACAAACACACACACACATACATATATACATATATATATATATATATATATATATTATATTTAATAATAAAAACAAAAAAAAATGAATAAAGTGGAATTTGAGCAACTTTGGAGAAAAAAAAAGTTAAATTAAATTGTTAAATTGACTATGTTTTAGTTTTTCCAATGCTGGGTTGTGGCTGGAAAGGCATCTGCTCCGTAAAACAAATGTCGGAATAGTCGGTGGTTCATTCTGCTGTGGCGACCCCTGATAAATTCGGAACTAAGCCAAAGGAAAATGATTTAATATGTTTTAGAATTTCAATTAACTGGATGTTTAATTTGGTCACTAAAATATAATTTAACCATTAAAACTGAGTCTTTAAAACTGAAATGAATAGCAAATGACAGCAATCAACTCATTTTATAATGGTAGCTTTTACACTGAAAAGGTTACAATAAGAAATATATTTGTTTTGGATGAAATGCACTATTTTCCATGAGGAACATGCTCCTAACCTTTTTTTCCACCATCTTGATGACCTTAATGTGGAAATAACCAAGCATCTGGTAGTTGTCCAGGAAGAGCTGGTAACGGCTGGTCTCTTTGGGGACGTCGAGCTTCTCGGGCCAGTATTTGTGGCATTTGACCCGTCCGCGCTCCACCTCTCGAGTCATCATGGCGATCACATCAGACCTGTTCTCCCACACCATCTGCCAGAAACTGTCCTGAGTGCCAGGCAAAGGGCCCTGAGCGGAGATGAAGAACAGCTCCTCCGAGCCCACCTTCATACGAATGTAGCTGGCATTGATGTAGCCCTCGTCCTCTCCCACAGGAACACGCGTCTTATCGTCTGAATGGTCAGAGAAATAGAGATTGTAGATTGTGATCAGTTAGTCCTAATAATAGTCCACACATTTATACACTGTAAAACAATCAGTTTTGTTATTATGAATGTCTGTGGGTCAAATATGAGCTGTCTATTTTTGTGTTTTGTGTGCATTAAAGGGATTGTTCAGCCAAAAATGAAAGTCTGTCATTTACTCATCCTTCACTTGTTCCAAACCTGTTGAACACAAAGGAAGACTTACTAAGAATGTTGAAAAGCAGCAGCCATTGATTTCTATAGTATTTTTGTCCCTACTATTGAAGTCAATGGCTGCTGTATTTTTTTTTATTTGTGTTTACAGAAGTTAAAAACCAATTAAGTGTGTATAAATGGTGTGGGAATTCAAATATTTAGAGTGAACTTATCTCTAAATAAATTTTGTAAAAGTGATTTTATATATACATACAGGAGAGATCAACATAAGTAATGTCATGTTTATCAATCCAAATTTGAAAGAATTTTTAGTCATGGCTATACAAAAATTATTAGCACAGTGCTTTTCCAAAATAACCAAAGATATGTCAACAAACAAAACACAGGTTAAAAAAAATCTGAGCTTTATCACGTTTGTACAATATACTTTTCACGTTCTCACAATATAATATCACTTTCTTACAATATAATATCATGTTTGTACAATATAATATCACATTCTTACAATATAATATCATGTTTGTACAATATAATTATCACATTCTTACAATATAATATCACGTTTGTACAATATACTTTTGTTCTTACAATATAATATCATGTTTGTACAATATAATTATCACGTTATTTGCCGCCATACGTGCGCACAGATGATGATGTGCGCGCGCGAGACTTTTTTTCTCGCGCTGGATCAGTTGAAATCATTGCTGGTTATTTCATAGCAGAAGTTGAAAAGAGGCTTGGGACACATTCCCGGATTCGCTCCAATCTGGGAACAGAAAATGTCACAATGGCAGACATGCAAAGATTCTTGCGATGGAGTATGGATCATAACGTCACTAACTGTTTTATTACTGGGTCTAGTAATCACAATCAGTAGCTGCAAAATTTCATCATGTCTCAATCCAAGCATAAAATAGAACTTAATTAATTCTGTAAGAAGAGACATTTTCTCACGCTCTGATCACACCAGGTAAACGTAGCCTAAGCAATAAAGTTTTCACGTAATAACGTGATAATTATATTGTACAAACATGATATTATATTGTAAGAACGTGATAATTATATTGTACAAACGTGATATTATATTGTAAGAACGTGAAAAGTATATTGTACAAACGTGATATTATATTGTAAGAACGTGATAATTATATTGTACAAACGTGATATTATATTGTAAGAACGTGAAAAGTATATTGTACAAACGTGATATTGTATTGTAAGAACGTGAAAAGTATATTGTACAAACGTGATGTTATATTGTAAGAACGTGAAAAGTATATTGTACAAACGTGATATTATATTGTAAGAACGTGAAAAGTATATTGTACAAACGTGATATTGTATTGTAAGAACGTGAAAAGTATATTGTACAAACGTGATATTATATTGTAAGAACGTGAAAAGTATATTGTACAAACATGATATTGTATTGTAAGAACGTGAAAAGTATATTGTACAAACGTGATGTTATATTGTAAGAACGTGAAAAGTATATTGTACAAACGTGATATTGTATTGTAAGAACGTGAAAAGTATATTGTACAAACGTGATGTTATATTGTAAGAACGTGAAAAGTATATTGTACAAACGTGATATTGTATTGTAAGAACGTGAAAAGTATATTGTACAAACGTGATGTTATATTGTAAGAACGTGAAAAGTATATTGTACAAACGTGATATTATATTGTAAGAACGTGAAAAGTATATTGTACAAACGTGATATTGTATTGTAAGAACGTGAAAAGTATATTGTACAAACGTGATATTATATTGTAAGAACGTGAAAAGTATATTGTACAAACATGATATTGTATTGTAAGAACGTGAAAAGTATATTGTACAAACGTGATATTATATTGTAAGAACGTGAAAAGTATATTGTACAAACGTGATATTGTATTGTAAGAACGTGAAAAGTATATTGTACAAACGTGATGTTATATTGTAAGAACGTGAAAAGTATATTGTACAAACGTGATATTATATTGTAAGAACGTGAAAAGTATATTGTACAAACGTGATATTATATTGTAAGAACGTGAAAAGTATATTGTAAGAACGTGAAAAGTATATTGTACAAACATGATATTATATTGTAAGAACGTGAAAAGTATATTGTACAAACGTGATATTATATTGTAGGAACGTGAAAAGTATATTGTACAAACGTGATATTATATTGTAGGAACGTGAAAAGTATATTGTACAAACGTGATATTATATTGTAAGAACGTGAAAAGTATATTGTACAAACCTGATATTATATTGTAAGAACGTGAAAAGTATATTGTACAAACGTGATATTGTATTGTAAGAACGTGAAAAGTATATTGTACAAACGTGATATTATATTGTAAGAACGTGAAAAGTATATTGTACAAACGTGATGTTATATTGTAAGAACGTGAAAAGTATATTGTACAAACGTGATATTATATTGTAGGAACGTGAAAAGTATATTGTACAAACGTGATATTATATTGTAAGAACGTGAAAAGTATATTGTACAAACGTGATATTATATTGTAAGAACGTGAAAAGTATATTGTACAAACCTGATATTATATTGTAAGAACGTGAAAAGTATATTGTAAGAACGTGAAAAGTATATTGTAAGAACATGAAAAGTATATTGTACAAACGTGATAAAGCTCAGATTTTTTTTTACCTGGGTGGCAGCTCTACGCTTCCGTAGTATATTTCTTTGGTCTTCATCTGAAAATCATTTTATCTGAGGGTTTCAGTTAGTTTAGATCGACTCAACATCTTGCAAAGTCAGGGAAAACTAAAACATTTGGCTGCCAATTCAAAAGAGTTTGTCAGAAAATTAAGGATTTTAATAACTAGGAGGAATCTGAAAGTCTCATTTTTTTAATACTGTGCTTTAAAATACATGTAATGGCTTTAAAACTGCTATTATACTACTATTATGAAAACTTCAAGTAGGACTAAGCCTCAAAATGTTTTAAATTATAGTTCGTTCTCTTTTATTAATAATAATCTTTTAGGGTTTTTACACTTTTTACTGGACAGGGTAGTGACGATTATAGACAGGAAAGCGCATCCGGTGTGTGACCTGCTTATGATTATTTAAAATAAAATGAATGCAGTTTTCCATTAGAAGCTGGATATTCACAGATTGTTGTCACAAACTGTGTTTAAACCCCTTTAAAAGTGATTTTTGCATAAGAGACCATACATTTAAATGTTTCAAAAAACGTGTGGGGGAAAAAAGTCAAAATTTGAGTGAAATAATGTTTCAGCATTTGTTCATGAAATATGGATAGTCAGAGCTTGTTGGCTTTCTTCTGTAAATCAGGCTACAAATGTATAATCATTACAACAAAATCAGTACATTTCACTCAGAAATAAACTCTGACACATTAAAAAAGCTTTTTCCTTTTTGTTCATGACCCCTGTTTCTTGGCCAATATCTGAGTACACTTAAGCCTGAATAAGCATGGATGTTATTTGGCCATAATATAAGATAAGAAAACAACAGTTTGGCTCTTGATGACAACTCAAATCCCACAGGGCAACTAAACCATCGAGAGTTCATTATGGAAACCAGAAGGTAGTGTATACAATTTTTCTCTTTAAAAATCAATGCATGAACAAACAAACAAACCTCTTGTGTATTAACTATCAAATGCATGTTTCCCAAACCACAAACTCGTTTTTATTTGAAACGCAGGTAGGAGATTTATAACAGGGCCTCAGCATTCCTGTAATGAGCTGATTGCTGTTGTTGGCTTCGGTAGCCAACGGTGTTATTAATCTACAGACCAAGAATGCAGCGATTTTGGTTTCACCATCGAGGTGAAGGAACAAATTGTACCGAGGTACAACAAATAGCTGCAAAGAAATGAAACAAGCTCTCAAGGTCATGCTGGTTGGAAACACAGTGAGAAGAATGAGCTCATGCTATTCTCATGAAGGCTTAAGACTGACTAACTGACTAAAAAACATTTATACTTTAAAATTATATTAGTGAAATCACCACTTTTTGATGACTGGAATCACAAAATATATCATTTTATTTTTTGTTTATTATTTTAGCTATAATACGTTATATTTTCATTTCAGACTATTCCAACGTTTTTGGTCTGTAAATTATTGCTGTAACAAAGATGAATTAAATGTTTTAAAAATGGGCAAAAAGTTTCTATTTTATAAACATACTGTTGTTTGGAACTTTCCATAAGTCAAATAGAAATATTCTTGGTACTAAAATTTTTAAAACGCTTATTTCCTGCTAACATTTAAGCGATGTTAAGCGCGTTCTTAAACATAGATGATTTGCCATAGTATTCACCAGTGCTCAACGGAAATGACTTTGATTGGCCATGAAGGTCATAAGTTCACTGCTCTTCACCAAGTGCAAACAAAGATACACAGACACTGGAGCGTTTTAAAGTCGAGAAGATCAGTCGAGTCATTAGCGGATTGTTCCTCTGTGTTTACACTTGGAACTAGGGTTGTAACAATATACCGGTATGACGGTCTACCACGATTTGAACGTGCACGATTATCATACCATGAACAATTGCATATCAATGGTTTTAACCCTTAAAGACCGAGACAGCCGCCCGCGGCTAAAAATAAGCATTGCTCTTAAATGTTTAATAACTTTTGATCCGCTGATCCGATTCATACAATTCAAAGATTGGCATAAAGAAGAGAATCTCAGCTTTCCAGTGCTGTATCACATAACATTCGCGGCTCCGGAGGCTCCGGAATCAGGGCGGTTACGTCATCAAAATTTGACAGCGCTGATTTGACAAAGAAACGCTCGTCACTGTGTC